CTTAAGGGCTGGAGATATAAAGAAAGGCAAAAAACAATCCCTGTTCTTAAAAAGCTCACAGTCTAAATAGGTAGACAATGTGCAAATAATAATGTACAAACTAAATATAGAGAGGATAAAGTGGGAGTAATCTCAGAGGGAAGACATTGTAAGGTAGGTGCTATCATTATCTTCATTTTACAGATGAGGAAACTGAGACTGAGAAAGATGAAATGACTTTCCCAGGCCCACACAGCCAGTCTCTGCCACAAGACTTGAACTGAGGTCTTTCTACTATGTCACCTAGCAAAGAGTAGGCACCATAGCTAGGATTTGAATCCAAATTTAGGACTCTTTCCACTAAGCCATGTTGCCCTTTGTAACTCCTGGGTCCTTGTGGCCAACATTTAGGGGGCACTCAGTACTACTTTTTAGTTTAATTTTGGCACTAACAAAAAGGTGAAAGATAAGTAACTGGGAAGCGACCTTTCTATGGTTCGTATATGTTAAGTATGATAAATTTCCTTTTTTAAGTTCATGCCATCAATTATAACCCTTATACCAATTCCATAAGATACTGTCTAGCCATGCCCACATGGAGTTTACAATTTAGGAGAAGATGGTATATGCATTATAATGCAAAACATCACGTTAGCATTAGAGAGAAACTTTAAAAAAATGTGTGAAGTCTGAGGAGAAAAGATTATGTGGACGTATTTGTGGAATGAAAGGATCATAGATTTAGAGCTAAAAGTGACTGACTGTAGATGCTCTAAACCATCGCTCTCCTTTTACAATTGAGGAAAATGAGCCCTACAGAGCCACTTAACTTCTGTAGGGTTCATTTTCCTCAACTGTAAAAGGAGAAGGATGGTCTAGAGCACAAATACCTTCACACTACCTTTTCTCCTCAGACATCACACATCTGTTTTTGTTGAACTCAGATACTTGACTCCAAATCTAGGATCCTTTCCAATGTACTATCCCCTCCTTTAACCCCTGAGATTCAGGTCGGCTCTTGAATTGGATGAGTGCTAGAACATTCAAGAAAAAAAGGCCCCTGGAGCTCTAGACCACCACGCCCAGGAGTCCCACGAAGGAAATGTAGCTTCAGAAGATCCATCCTATACTGTGCCATTGGAAGTGGGGAGTCAGAGGATTGGGTCTGGAAGAGGCTGAGAAGAATGTGAACTCTGAAATCCCCCTCTTTGACCACAATTCCATGTCCTTCCCACTTCCTTACTCAACACCTTGGTTTCTTCACCAAAAAATGAAAGGATTGAATTTGATGGCATGTAAGGATCCCTCCAACTCTAAACCTATGATTTCCCTTTCTCTAAATTCCTTAATCTCTCCCTCTCAACTGACTCTTTTCTTGCAAACACACCTATACCTCTACCTTCTAAAAAAAACAAAAGCTCTTCTCTGATCATAGTAATAATAGTAATAATGATGATAGCTAGCATTTATATAGCACCAACTAAATTCCAGGCACTGGCTAAGTGCTTTAAAAATATTATCTCAACCTAAAAAAAAAATCTCATTTGATCCTCACAGCACAGACAGCAGTTAAGTGATTTGCCCAAGGTCATTCAGCTCGTAAAGGTCTGAGGCAACCTGCTGCTCCCTCTGAAGACCACTGTGCTTTTCTCCTTCCTTTCCCTAATGGACTTTTGAAAGAGTAGTCGCATTTATAGCTTCTGCTTGTCCCTCAGCTTTTCAATACCTTGTGTTTATGTTCTGTCCCAACCAATCAATTAAAACTATTCTCTTGAAGGTAATCTTAATCTCGAAATCCAAAGACCTTTTTTCAGTTGTACTTCTCTTTGAATCTTCTGTTACTATATCCTAACTCATGCTTCTTGAAAACTTTCTCCTTCCTACCTCTCTGAGCACTCCTCTGTAGATTGTCTCTTCTTCCTTGCATCTCCTAATACACAATCATTTCCCAAGGTACTGGCCTTGACCTTTTTTTTTTTTTTGCTTTTCTCTCTGTCTGCTCCTCTACAGTGTCATCTGAATCATTTAACCTTTCTGATCTTTATTTTCCTCATCTATGATATGGGGGTAAAAAAACTTGCTTTTTATAGATGAGGATACAGACTCAACAAGATTAAATTATTCCCCCATGATCACTAACTGTCAGATCAAGGATTTGAATCAAGGTTTTCTAATTCCAAATCCAATGTTCTTTCTACTACACCACATTCAGCCCCCAAACTCAGAATGCTCCATCTTCATATACAACATACTCATCTTCACCCTAAAACAAGGTTTCCTATTTTTGTCAATAGTACCAATAAACTTCCATTCATGCTGGCTTGGAAACTTTCTTTACCATTTCTCCTGATGTCCAACAGTTATCAATTCTGTCAATTTCTCCTCTAAAATCCATTTCCTCCTTTCTCATTCCTGCTATTACCACTCTATTTTATACTCAGATTACCTCTTACTTGTACCACAATTACAATATGCTAACTAGTTTCCCTGCTCAAGCCTTTCAAATGGTGGCCATATTCATCTGCCTAAAGTACACAACACTCTGCTGCTTAACAATCCTTCCTTATTACCTGCCATAGAATACAACACTCTTAGCCTGATATTTACAGCCCTCCATAATGTGGTCCTTTCTAGCCTTAGTTCCCACAACCCCACTAACATATAATCTATCCAAACCATACTACTATTCCTCAAACATGTCCTGTGTTTCCCTACCTCCATACCTTTGCTCATGGTGTTCACTGCATCTGGAAATTCTTTCCTCTAGATTTCCCCCTTATGAAATACTATCTTTCAGGGTGTAACTCAGATGCCACCTCCTTCATGAAATTCTCCATGATATCCTAACTGGATCTGATGTGTTCCTCCTCAGAATTTTCATAATATTTTGTTTAAGCTTTTCTTTTTCATTTTTTAGATTCTATTTTGTAATGTAGTTATCTCTATATGTGATCTTTCTTCTTTTGGATTGTAAAATCCTTGAGGATACAGACTATATTTGAATCATCTTTTGTGTCCCCTTCAGAGTATAGTACAGTGCCTAGCACATGTAGCTGCTCAAATAAAATATTTTCAATTGAGTGAGCAGGATGCAAAGAACAAAAAGCATGAGGGATGAAAAGATGGCATGATTTATTTTAGAGAGGCAGAGAAAAATGAGAGCCCCTAGATCCAGCAGGAAAAGAAGCGAGCCTAAAAACCAAGAAAGGTAATAGAAGAATGGAAAGCATTACCAGGAAAGAAGGAAGACACAAGGCACAGTTCTCTCCCTAACAATGGTGACAATGGAAAGTTTAGTTTTAATATATAATATAATGTGATAATCAAATAAAAATTATTTGTCTATGTATTTTATGCTAGGAGAGGGTGAAGAGGTCTAGCTAGGCTTGTAATTTCATCACTGTGAAAATGTCCTACATAGATTCAAGTATGTAACTCTTCTGTTGCTTACTGCTTTAGAGAGTTTCTTGAAACCTTGAAGGTTGAGTGATTTGCCGAGGGTCCCATAGCTAGATAGGTGTCTGTCAAAGGCAAAATGTGAAGCCAGGTCTTCCTGACTCCAAAATTCATTCTCTATCTCCTGTACCACAGTGTTTATCAATCTATACACTTCCAGGGAAAATAAATATTTCTGTTATAATTAAATTTTACGTTGTAGTATGAGAGGCAGGGGTCATATTGGATAGAAATCTGGCCTTGATGCCAGAAAGAGTTGAGGTCAGGTCCCACCTTTGATACATACTGACTTTGTGATCCTAGGCAAATCACTTAAGCTCTCAGTGCTCTAAACCAGAAATGTCAAACACATATGGCCTGCTGACTGTATGTGGACCACAAAATTCCAGAGTTGAACCTAACCTGATTAAAATGTAATTGGGGGGCAGCTAAGTGGCACAGTGAATAGAACACTGGCCCTGGAGTCAGGAGGACCCTATTCAAATCCAGCCTCAGATACATAATACTCACTAGCTGTGTGACTCTAGGCAAGTCACTTAACCCCAATTGCCTCACCAAAAAAAAAAAAGCAATTGGAAAATATTTAACAAAATAAAATTTAAAATATGATAGAACATAGGCAACATTAATATTTGGTTTTCTGGGTCATTATATGGCCTGCAGAGTTATTTGTGTATGGTCCCCTGTTTCTATTTGAGTTTGACACCACTGCTCTAGACAAGTCATTTGAAACTATTAAGTTTCAGGGAAGGTGGTGACCTGCATTGTTGGTTGAGGGAATTTCTTCCACCTGGGAGTTCCCCATTCCAATGATAGTACAGATCCATTTCCTATCTATTACATGTTAATGCAGCTCTGTTCCTATAAATACAGAAGGCAATATATATAATTTTACATTTTTCAATTTTTGAGAACAAGAGATTAAAATGAAAACCAAGGAACTGGCATTTTTATCCACACACATAAATCTAAGGACTTTAGATAACATCTAAAATTTCTCCATACCACTCAGTTAAGTAAGTTGAAATAAGTGCCTTTAAAAAACAATGTCAATTACTATAAAGCCAAATAGGAATCTCAAATCAAGGGCAGCTTTTTGGAATCCAGAAACATATCTTTCTATATGCATCGTGCTGCAGCAATGCCTGAGGTTTCTAATGGAACACTGTAACAAAGAATCCCAGACTCCCAAGCCAACTAGCACGGACATCTTTACCCCATTAATCTGTCTAGCAAGACACTGCAGCTGCCAACTCTCCCCTCACCCCCAACTTGAAGGCACATTGCCCAAGGAGCTTATTTAAATGAAACTCTATTGACAGCTTTACTACATGTCAAAGACAAGATGATTTTCCAACAGACAATATCCGCTGTCATAATTGAGACAACTACTAACAACGGCTTCCACAAACAACCGCAGTGACTGACTGACCTGCTTTCCGACAAACCCTAGGAGAATAAGATGACCGATCACACGAAGAGATTCAATCCTTTCTCCATTAGCTGCCTTACCCCGCTGCTTTGCTGGTTTTCATTTTAATCCGTTTGGACCTGCAAACACTTACTGATCGTTGACGCATGAGGATGTAACATCAGCAGATTTCTGAGTGAGATGCGTGATTGCTGCTGCAGCTCTGTGCATCTAACCAAGTTCAATGCAGCAGAGGAATTAGCTCCCTCTACCCGGATTTTTTTTTTTTAAAGAGATACGACTAGCACCAGCCTTAGGCTTAAATAATGCTGCAAAATGCAGTACTGGGGATTCTAGATAAGGGGACATGTTCAATGAAATATTAAGTGCATTTTTATACTCTTCACATTACAGATATGATCTCAAAACCAAAAAGCATTAATAAATCAGTTTTGCTTAAAAATATATTTGTCTGGATATACGGTAGTACTTTAATATTCTGCTGAGTTTCTCTTTTCAGTAGCACCCCGGGTCCTCCTTTATTTCTTCATTTCTGCTGTTGGTTTGCTTTTCCTATTTTACTGAAGTCATAAAAGGAAACAGGTTTAGTAGCTTTCACTTTTGGTTTCTCATTCTTACTGCTATGTACCAGCCTAATATTATTTAGTTAAGCATTGTTGGAAACAGCTTTTACAAGCATTTTAGCATCACTTTTTCAGTCAGGAGAAAGAATATTGCCTCTCTTGATTTCATGACTTTGAGCAAGTCATTTGACCTCAATTTTTTTTTTTATCTGTAAGTTGTAGATTACCTCCAATCACAGGGGTTCTTAACCTTTTTTTTTAATGGTAGATTCTTTTCCCAGTCTGATGAAGCTTATAGACGTCTTCTAAGAGTAATGTTTGTAAATGCATAAAATAAATTGCATAAGATTACAAAGGAAACAAGTTTTATCAAAATACAATTACCAAAATATTTTTTAAAACAAGTTTACAAGCCCCAGGTTAAGAAGCCCTGCTCTAAAGGGCTAAGCCTCTGTTCTTATAAGTCACTTATTCCTTTTCGGATTTACTAACCTTTTACTTTCTTCCTTGTACATTTACTTAAATGTTTGAATATTTCATGAATATTGGTTCAATATAAGTCACAGATCTTGTATACTCTTAGAGATAGTTTAAGTGAATTGTAGTGGCCAAAAACTTCTCAATTTGGTAGCCAGACTTCTGGTGCTGAGCCTTTCCAAATCTCTCTAGGCTGGCCTCAGATTTCATCCATCACTGGGCCCAGATTCACAGCCTTTCTACTTTGCCAAGACCTGCCTCTCCTCTGGCTCAGCCTTCAGAGACCTAATGTCACCTGCACACTATAATGAAGCTCTGGAGGAGGACTTCAATAGAGGTATAAATTTAGCATTTGAAAAACCTAGCAATTACTACTGGTTTAATTTGTGAGAGTATTAATATGAACAAGAAAGAATTCAGGCTCCTTGTCATTCAAAGACTGGCAACATATTTTGTACATGATAAAATGTTTAGAAAGCAGCAAGGATATCCAGGCAGAGAGACTGGAAATATAAGATTATTGTCCCAATTATGCTGCTAATTACCTAGAACCTCAGGTTCCTTATCTGTAAGGGATTAGAGTAAATCCCTTCCAGTTTTGATGTTCCCTAAAATCCTTTTCCCCCTCCCCCAAATCCCCAGTGTATAGATAGAGCCTTCAATTGCTGATAAATAAAAGAATAACAACCTTATCTTTCTATAGGGTATCACATTTTTTTCCAGAACACTTTCTATGAATTATACCGAGAGTAGACAACCTTTTTTTTTTAAGATGCTACACACTTGATCTATATGCCTCCTGCAAATGAGGGTATGGGAAACAACATTGGCAGACTGTCAGCAGCAGCATCCCTACTGCAGCCTCCTGATCAAAACTCCCCTTATCAATTTTAATCTCACAAGAGATAGGGCTATATTATCAAGGCTACATTGTCAGGGACAATCAGTCCAATCTCTTGAAATCACAGATTGACTGGTTGGGCATAGAAACTCTCCAACAACATCCCAGTCCTAGGGAAAATATACCCAACTGAGCTTAAACTGAGCTGTTGAGAAGTCAAGAATGGGAGGCCAATGACTATCACATCTGTAGTCAAAAGAGCTGGGCTCAAAGCTTAGATCTGTTCTTTGCTACCTATGGTTCCCCCTCTGTATAATGACAGAGTTACACTAGTTGATCTTGAAGGTCTCTACTGACTCTAAATTCCATGGGGTGAGTAGATATAATTGAACCTATTAGATTGTACTTTCATTGTGAACAGGGATTGCTTGATTCTTTGTACTCACACTCCCAGTCCCTGGCTTAGAAGGCACTTGATAAATATTTGTTGATTAATAGATTGATTACATTCATGCAGGCTTTGTGAGGTTGGCTTCTTTGTCCCTCTTGATCAAACTATGTTAGCAAAAGTTTTATATGTGTGTGTGTGTGTGTGTGTGTGTGTGTGTATTTACACACACATGTACATCTCTCTTTGTGAGAGAAGTGGACAATTGTAGAGATAGAATCGATGGCACTGGGAAGCTAACTGGATGTAGAGGAGGTGCAGGTTAAGGGAAAGAAGCCAAAAATGACTCTTGTTTGAAAACTACTCAGCACTTATAAAATTTCTCCCCATTCAGGAAAATAATAATTAAGATGATTCTTTTTTTTCTAAACTTGACTTGCAACTCTCTCATCTAATAATTCAATTTAAACTGCTCTCTCTAAAGTTATCATGGAACTCTTCTCTTTTCTCTCGTACTCTCACTGGGTCATCTCAATTAGCTCCTCTGAGTTTAGTTATCATCTGTATGCAAATGATTCCCAGATATATTTATCCAGCCTTAGCCTCTCTCTTGAGCTGTATTCTCAAAGCGTCCTCAATTGCTATTGGACATTCCAAACCAGATGTCTTATATGTATCAATCATACATACATATATATATATATATATATATATATATATATATATATATATATGTATCATCATACATACATATATATATATATGTGTGTGTGTGTGTGTGTGTGTGTGTGTATACATATGTGTATATATATATATATACATATATGTATCAATCTTATATATGTATATATATATATATATATATATATACATATATGTATCAATCTTATATATGCTCAACAAGTCCAAAACAGAAGTCATTATGTCTCCCCCTCCAAACCCTTTTCTTTTTTCAACTTCCCTCTTACTACTGAGGGCACCAGTCACTGGGTCTCAACTTCATTGCCATTCTCAATTCCACACTCACTTATCTAACCTAGCCAATCCATTGCCAAATCTTGTTTCTACTCTCACATCTCTCATATATATTCTCTTATCTTTACTTACACAAGCTACCCCCCTAGTTCAGGCCCTTATTATCTCTTGCCTGGACTGTTGCAATAGCTATCTACTTGATCTCCCTGCCTCAAGGCTCCCCTTATTCTAGCCAGTTCTCCATTCAGCTGCCAAAGATTTTCCTAAAGTGTAGATCTGACCATGTCATACACCCTACCTTCTACTCAATAAACTCTGGTGGCTCCTTTGTCCAGGATCAAATATAAAGTCCCACATTTGCCATTTAAAAATTTTCACAATCTGAAGCTTTCCTACCTTTCCAACTTCCTTACATCGTATTCCTATCCACATAATCTACAATCTAGCTGAACTAACCTTCTTGCTGGTCCTCACACGTAACACTCTGTTTTCCATCTTTGCACTGTCTATTCCTTTGCCTGGAATGCTCTCCCAACTTCCAAGTCTTAGAATCTTAGATTTCTTTTAGGACTGTACTCAAAAGCCACCTTCTCCAGGAAGCCTTTCTTGGTTCTCTCAACTCCTCACCAGCTGCCAGTGCCTCTCCTTACAAGGTTTCCTACCCCCCAATTCTGTGTTTATCTTGTAAGCTCTTATTTATCAACGTTGTCCCTCCCACTACTCTCTCCCCCTGGAAAATAAGCTCATTTTTTATATATACCCAAGGCTTTGCACAGTGCATGGCACATAGTATGTGCTAATTTAATGTTTGTTGATTGATTAATTCCTTTATCTTCATGCTGAAAACAAGCTCTCTCTGCTTTCTCCATCTTTCAGATTGTTTCCTTTTCTTCAAGGCTCAGGTCCAGTGTCCTCACATTGATGAAGTCTTTCCTGATCTTAGCCCCCACCAAACTTCTATTTTATTACACTTCTCTTTGCATATGTCCTATTCCTCCTTGTAAAATGTAATCCACAATATAATCCTAGTTTAAAATTGGATATTGGAAAGATATTTTCACGAGATTTGATATTGTTACTAAGAATTCCAGGAAGCTACAAGCTTCTGGGTGATGAATTAAAAACACAAGGAAGGAATCTACTGTTTCCTGGTCCAACTCAGAATTCCTAATGATGTTATAAGGCTAAGAGTTCAGGGAATTTCCATTGCTTTTCCTTCTACTGCCTTCTTTTAAGGATGTAGCAATGTATTAATCAGGGTCACCATCCCTGAAGCCCATCAAGGGCTGATTGAGAAAAAGTAAGTCTGCCTCTATTGGGGATTTTTCAGGCACTAACACTTGCTCTCCTTCTTGATTTGCTTTCAGTAATTGAGGGCTGTGATCCTCTTTTTCTTTCTAATTTCACATTCATCTGGCCAGTTGCCTGAGAACCTTATCAGGTTGGCTTCCTTATCCCTCTTGATCAAGCTACATGTTAACAAAAATTTTATATATGTGTGTGTATGTGTATATTTACACACACATGTACATCTCTTTTATATATATATGTATATATATATAAAATATGTATGTATGCATATATATTCTATACATAACTGAGGAAACCTGGCATATATGTGTATGTTTTGTGTGTATATATATGTATGTATGTATGTATATAGGTATGTAGGTATTTATGAGACTTCCTTAGTTGAGAAAAAGTGTTTGTTTGCTCTAATCATAATGACTACTTTTTTCTGTATGTCTACTTGTGATTTCAATGGTGGATCATAGCCATTCAGCTTTAATATTTTGTATGACAAATTCCACTAATTTGTCTGTATAGTTACAAAGCTTGTGAGCTTTGGTTCTGAAAGTTTAAATTGATTTGACTGCTTAACAATGGAGCTTAAGATATTTTCCATTCAGAAACCTAGGTGGGAGGAGTACCCTTAATTTGAAAAGCTGCCTGATTACCTTACCCTTTTGCAGGAAGGATTATCATTGTAGA